GTGGTTGTGAATACTCTGAGCCTCCTGGTAAAGCGGCGGGAAGGGTGGGAGTATTTTTGTTGTCCTGTAAGCTAAAGTCTCTCCCAGGCTGTGGACCCCACCCTGTCGCAGCTGGGATCCTGGTGGAGGGAAGGTCGCTGCCAGGGCCAGGCAGGACACCCCTCCGTTCCTCTCCCCTGTGCCCAGCCATGCTCTGACCTCTGACCTCGGCTCTTTTACCAGCTCCTTCCTGGCTTCCTGCCTTCAGCCTGCTGTTTGCAGCGCCCTCCACCTGGCATGGAACGTAGCCGTATGGAGCCTCAGTTTGCACATTTGTGTAATGAGGAAAATAATAGTATCAATACTTACCATGGAGGGTTGGTACAAACATTAGATACTAGTTGTAAAGTACTTAGACCATTGCCTGGCAAGTACACTTGTATGTTAAAGGAATAAAAACACCACTGATTGAGCACCTGTGGTGTGCCTGGTGTGACTCTGACCGCATTAGCAGTATCATTTTATTTAATCCTCACAACAAATGTCCTCCCTGCACAGGTGAAGAATCTGGCTCAGAGGTGCTAAGAAATGTGGTCAAGGTCACAGTGAGACAGCACTGACCCACACAATTTCTCCCAACTTGCATGAAAAAAATGCTGAAGCTTAGAGAAATGATGTAACTTACCTAAGACCTGACAGCCAGTCAGGAGATGAGCTGGGCCTGTCTGAGTTCAAGGCCCCACTCCACCTGCCTTTGATCTGGCCTCTGCCCCCCTCTGCAGACTGGTCTCCTGCTGCCGTCTTCCCCCGACTCCCTCCACACTCCGTGGAGCCCACGCTTAGCTGCGCTCATGTCTCTCCCAACTCCTCAGGGTGGAGGACCCTTGCTCCTACCCCCTCAGCCCTCTGTCCTCATGTCTGTCACTGCAGCCACAGGGCCAGACTGGAGGGCAGAGAATGTCCTTTCCATCTCTGACCCGGTGTCTGACACTCCTGTTGGCATCGGCGATTGTTGGTAGAATAGTCAAATGAGCATGTGCTGAAAGCTTCCTCTCCTGGGAGACACGCAGTGGCTGATCACCTGATGGCTCATCGCTGTCAGCGGGATCTGGACCAGAGGCCTGCACAGAGGCCCGGGGAGGCAGGGTCTACAGGGCCGGGCACACGTGGGCCTTCTGCTCCTTCTGGTGAAGATGTAAACGCAGACTCAGGGCAAGGCCAGCTTCCCTTCTCTGTGAGTTAACCCCGCTCTCCTCTCCATTTCTTTTTTCACAGCTGTTTTGATATTCATCATCAGATTTTTCTACCATCCATGCCCATCACATAGTTTGACACCGATTTGTTACAACTTGAACGTGCAGCTTTATTGACAAACTGCCACACACTAAATTTGATCACTCACTGTTTAAAAAGTATTATTCCTAAGCTGTTTGTTGCTGGTAGTTTTCAGCCCGTTGAGGAGATTCTCACAACCTTAGTGAGATTCTCTAAGATGCTACGGCTTTCCTTCTTTAACATTCATCGGTTCCATTTCGTATCCATTTTTTAAAAAAATCATTGGCCTTTCTTCTTAAAGCCACTGTCACTTGCACGTCAGCCACTGTCTGTCTTTCGGATCTCCAGTGTGGGATAAAGCAAGTGCGTTGGACACACCGTGAGGCAGACTGCTTGGTAACCATTGAGTTGAATGATCTCTTTTGAGTCCATGTTTTAAACCTGGGGGTCACCTCTGTGCTTCCTTGGCCACTGGTTAATGGTTTTGTTCCCGCTACCCAGGTGGGATGCAGATGTGGCCCTGGCAGCCACGTGTAGGAAGTGGAGGATGGGTGGGGCAGGCTGGTAGAATCCTCTGGGACAGTCAGTGGGTGACTTTGTCACTTGCTACTCCCTGGGTCAGGGGGTGTCCTCTCCCAGCTCCACGACACGGGCAGAGATCTAGCTGCGTGCACAGGAGGTACGTTCTTTTAGTCCATATTGACAACGTCCACAGTATCTTCTGGAAAACATGAAAAGAAATCATTACTGGCAAACGCCAGGCTGTTAGGCAACGTCCCCTGAGCTACGGCTTTTTGAACTCCTGCTTTCTTTGCTCTAGTGTATGCAGTTTTTGGATTTACCAGCGTGGTGAACCTCATCATAGGACTGGAACAGGACGGGATCATTGATGGCTTCATGACATACTACTTGAGAGAGGTACGGGGTCGGTAGCGAGTACGAGCCTTGAACTAAAGGGTCTGCGACACCAACAGCATTGCTCGAGATGGAAATCCTTTCATTTAGTGTAAGCAGGGATGACACACGGTATTTCATTTGCTGCCGTAGACACAGGACACTTAGTCACGTGGAAGGTGAAGCGGAAAGTTAGGATTGGATCATGGGAGGCAGTTCTCCTCGGCGTTCGGTCTTACAGCTCCTTCCTCACACCCAACCCACCAACTTTCCCCTTTACTTGTATTTAATATAAATGAGGTTACTTTAAATGAATCCAGTATCTGTGTATCTATTGTTATTAATACACTACTCTCTAAGAAAGCCCAGGTCAGTCTTAAATGTATAAAGCCCCAAACACTGAGGCAGTTAATAAAGCCATTTGATTGTGAGGATGAACATGCACTCCTCCCCACCATCACAGCATGGTAGACCTACCTGGCACCTGACACAGCTAGTCCTTTTTCCTTATTTTATGGTGTGATGAATCCAGCCCCAGAGAGGTTAAGTAACGTACTTAAGGTCACACAGGAAATAAGGAGCAGAGCTGGAAGTGTAGTCTTCATCTGTGTTTCAAACAATGGGGAGCTTTGTGTGCAAGCTAAGGGAGTTTGGATTTTGTCCCGCATGTGAGGGAAGGTGTTAAGTCAGCGAACAGTGCAGTCAGCTCTGAGAAGGATGCACTTGACAGGAAGGGTCGATGTCATAAGCTGGGACACCAGTCAGGAGGCTTCTGCAGGGCCAGCAAGGGCATGAAGATGGCCCAGACGGAGGCCAAGCATGGACAGTAGAGAAGGACGGACGGACTTCAGAGAACTTTGGCGGCTGGAATGAGTAGGTCTCGGGGATGAGTTGGGGGCAATGGGGAGAGTAAGGGCTGAGGTGCCATCCTGATTCCTGCTTTTGGAAGAACGCTGGTGTTATTCAACCGCAGAAGGACAGAAGGGGAAATGCAGTTCCAGAGATGTTTGGTGAGCAGACTGTGGGGGTCACAAGACCTGCTTTCTCCCTCCAGGAGCTAATGTGGCAGTGAGATGGCATGGTCCTAGGCGCAGAGACGGAGGCTCACGCCAGGCGCAGCGCACACTGAGGAAGAACTGACTCTGGGAGCGCTCAGGGGAGCCTCAGCGAGTTGGTGACGCTGCCCTCGGCTTCTTTAAAAATGGCAGTGGCAGTGGATGATAAACGTTTTCCAGATAGACTAGGGGGTGGAGGGCATGCCAGGGAGAAGAGACAGTGTGAGCAAAGGCTTAGAGAGAAGGGACTTCCCTGGCGGTCCAGTGGTTAGGACTGCACTTCCACTGCAAGGGGCGTGGGTTCCAGCCCTGGTCGGGGAGCTAAGATCCCACAAGCTGCACGGCACAGCCAAAAAAGAAAAAAAAAAAGGAGGCTTAGAGAGGAGAAACAGCATATGTCTCCCCACTGCCAGCCTGGGGTGCACGTGTGCAGGGATGATGCTGAGTTCATCTGGGGACGTGTGGAGTTTGAGGTGGGTAAGGAACATGCCGGCAGGTGTCCCGGCTGGCAGGGCTTCGCAGCTGTTGGTACCTGAAGGTCTGAGAGGAAAGGAGAGGGCAGAGAGGAGACGGCCGAGGGTGGAACTTTGGAGACCGTGGCCAGAAGATCAGGAGCCTCTGAAGTGGACTGTGAGGGGACAGGCAAAGAGGCAGAAGGAAAGCCTGGAGAGTGCAGGGCCACTGAGTCCACAGCGGGGAGGTTTCAGGAAGGAGGCGGCTGCCAAGAGGGCCTGGAGGTTGAGCTGGTGAGGGTGGTGAGACAGGGTATGAGATGGGGGGGCTGGGATGTAACTGTGGGAGGGTCTGCAGGGCCAGGTTCAGGGACCCGGCTGCCAGATAAGAGGAGGTGGGGCTTGGTCTTGCAGCCGCCAGCAGCTTTGGCAGGTTTTTGAGCAGAAGAGTGACATGTCAAGAGCCAGGGCAGCGGTGTGGTGAATCGGAAGGAGAGGAGAGAGGTAGGAAGACCATGTGGGAAAGGTCCAGTGAGGGGCACTGAGGGCTTTAACTAGGCCATGACGAGAGGGAGGGTTGCCTGGGGTGACATTATAGAGGTAAAATTGATAGGACTTGCCAACAGACTGCATAAGAGAAGAAGGAATGAACAACGACCCTGTGGTTTTGACCTGGGTAAGTTGAATGCTGTCGCCATGAAAATAGAGAGGCCAGGTGGGGCTTGGTTGAAGGGGGAAGCCAATGAGTTAAAGGAGGTAAGGTGAGTTTGAAGGGCCCACGGACCAGACAGTTGAAGATACCCATCAAGCCACCAGGAGAGGTCAGCACTGGCCCCGAGAGCCAGGTGTGTACGCATCAATGATTAAAACCATGAACTTGGATAGTATTATCCAATCAAAGCATGTCAGAGAGAAAAGATGTGGGCCAGGCACGGGTACTGAAGTATGACTCACATTATTTCCTCCACCTCTGTGATTTTCACTTGATTTGATTTTTGAGGCAAGATGACAGAGAGCAGTCTGCCCCAGGGGAGTGCAGAGCTTCAGAGAATCCCCTGCTTGGTTGGTTGACTGATGGGCTGGTTGATGTGCTCTGTTCCTTGTTGTAGAAAGGATTTAAGGCATCTTAGGAAAACATCTGAAACAAAGCAGGAGATCACAAATGTGGGAGAAAGAAGAAAGGAAAGTGAGTTGGAGCCAGAATGACACTAAAAACCTAGGCAGGTTTGACAGTGATTTTACAGTAGCCACCTGGAAACATAAGCACCTGGGACAGGGAAATGTCATTCATCATATAATCTGTGTTTATAAAATTAAAAATTTCTCAGAAGTATAGCTCTTCTTGGTAGTATAGTTTCTGCTAGGAATTAGCTGTGTGACCTTAGGTCAGGTAACCTCTTCGAACCTCTGTTTGCTCATCTGTAAAATGGAGTCAATCGTGTCTATCCCATAGTGTTGTTGGGAAAGTTGAACGAGGGGTTGGGTGTGAAGCTCTGAGTGTAGTGCCTGCTGGTCTGTGCCTGCACTGGGGACAGAGGCGGGGGAAAGGCGTGCCTTCCTCACACCCGTCCCAGCAAGCCTCTGGGTCAGTATGAATTTTGAAGGTCAGCCAGTGGCTCTGGTCAGCAGGGTCTTCCCTGGCCACCCCTTCTGCCCAGAGCCAAACACCATTAGTCACAGATTAGACTTGGCCTCAGTGAGTTCGTCATGCAGCCAGGACTGCCTGTAATGCTATCAGTTTTGCATCACTGTGCACACCTGTGTTGACTTAGCATAGGCCAGGCATTCTCTTAATTCCACGCCCTGTGGCAGACCCTAGTTCTGGCGGCTCCAGGGTAAATGTATATTTTCATGTTTCTACCAATTGTGTAATTGTATGGGATTAAGAATAGTTTCATTTTAGCAGACGAAGATGTTCTGCTGCTTTATTTTACTTTCAATACAGGTCTGGTGTTCTGTGTTGAAGTGTCTGAGTCATATTTAAAGTGGACTTCTGTTTAATGCTTTCCTTAGGGTGAACCGTATCTGAACACGGCCTATGGGCACATGATCTGCTACTGGGATGGCTCTGCTCATTATCTGATGTATCTGGTGATGGTGGCAGCCATAGCCTGGGAGTAAGTCAGTTCGCCTGGTGGGTGTGCCTTTGTCACCTTAGCAATCGATAGGCGGGTAGGTAAGGAAAATGGATGTATAGAGGCACAGACACAGGCAGGTACACATGGACATGAATCTAGGGTCTATGGAGACAAGTTAGACATGGCTTTATTTTTCCTTGTGTCACTGCCTTTCGAACATATGCCTTTGGATTTCTCCTCTGCCATGATGGACAGCTCGGGCAGACCCCTTAACTTTCTGATTATGTTCTCTTATAAGAGCAGTCTCATTTTCAGAAATTAAAGCCCAGCACATAGTAATTCAGAACTTCAAACTCCTTTCAGTTCAGAGCTCTCTTTCCATC